CACGCAGATTTCGTTTTCTGATCAACATTTTTGATTGTACAATTTAATACGAGCAACATCGATTACCAAACTGGGCATCAAAAGACTGTGATGCAAGCCTCCCAGTAATACGAAAACGAAATACTTCTTGACAGTAAGGGTCTTCCTGAGTGCCATTTCCGATCCTTAGTGATCGCCACAAGAAATAAGGCAAGTTGTACGAACCCTCAGAAAACAAAAAGGACATCCCAGCTGTATTCCGAGAAAAGTAGAGAGTGCCTAAACTAAAGTCTTTCCTACCAACGTCGCAGAATCTGGTAGGTAGGAGGTCGTATCTTTAAAGGACTTGGATGATCAATAGTCATAGGGAGTTCGGGATATGCAGATTCCATATGTGTAACTCCGTACTGAACGCGGTTTTCGTACACAATATTAATTATTGATAGACCAATCTCTCTGATTGTTGTGCATTAGAGAGGTGAGCTGTGATATGGCTGTTGAGTTCCTTTAAATGTTAAAGCCTAATCGTGAGCGTCATAGTGAAATGCGTCTGCAAGTATGCGGCATTTATTTGCTCAAATGGGCAAACAGAGAGTCAGTCAGTCAGTCGGCTGGCAACGCTCATCCGAAATGCAGTCAACGTGTCTTTGTTTATTTAGCGTAGCACGTTGGAGCCGCATCTCGTATTTATGTACACGAGCCGCACTGCAGAGAACAAATGCACGTAATTCTGCTTACTTCGTAACATTGCAACAATGCACGGGGGCCACCAAAGTATTTTTTAGGATTTTTTTCTCATGCGGTTGCGGTAGTCTGCTGGTCAGACAGCTAGACAGACAGACAGATAGAGAGACAGACAGAGATGATGCGCCGGCGAGCGACCTCTGGCCTTAATCAGAATCGGTCCCGTAAAACTAAGGCGCCATTTTCAATTGTAGTTGCGTCGACATTGACGTCGGGCGTATCCTTGTGAGCAAAGCAAAAAAAGAAATGTTCTGCTTGGTATTTTTGCTAGGTCTGCTTTGCTTTCACTCTGCGCCTGCATATTGCATTTATTTACATAGGCCTGGCTGGTTGCCTGGCTGGATGCCTGACTGGCTGACTTTTGATTTAAAGCTCTTGGCTCCTAACTCAATTCCCTTTCGACTTTGCAGCTGTCATTCCACCAGGTGCTTACGAGTATGTGTGTGCTAGTGTATGGGTATGGGTCTGTGTATGTACGTACGTGTGTGCGTTGCTTTTCCCTTCACATATATTTGCACATGCATTTACGTGCTCTGCCCCTTTGTGCTGTGCAAATAGGCACAGCGGTTGCAGCTTTCAGCCTCCAACATAATCCGTGACCATCATCCAATGTGCGCCCCAGCCTCAGGGTCTGTTCCATGTGACCTTTGTGACTTGAAGCTGAAATTATGTGGGCTGTAGAAAAAAGCAGCAAATGTATGTGGTACACTTTTAAGTTAAAGTAGTCAAGTCTTGCCACTGAAAGCATGTCTAAAATGTCGGTTTCATTAACAAGTGCAAAATAATTGTTGAGGAATATAGCAATCTTTTAATGTTCGTGATGTTTTCTTGTATAAATCAATTAAAAAAAACGTTTTATAGCAGTTTAATAAGCATATAATATAAATAGAAAACAATAATTGAGATGGAGAATATAAAAACCAATATTGTGATAAGACTTTTATGAAATATCGACTGCCAAACTGATTTAGATTGCTTGAGCATACTCGACTCCTCTCAAATGGGAATTGAGGCATCAATTGAATTCTCAAGCACTTGGTGTCCACTGATTGCCCTCCCAAACACAATTCGAAAAATAAAATGCCTATTCGACAATTTTGACCACATTTTTGATTTATCCAGATGGCAGACAGTTGGTTTTATAGATTGCAATATTTTGTGCTCTTTGCTTTATCACTTTTTGTGGCACTCCAATTTCGACGGCAATCAGAAGTGCAACGAAGGAAAATGTTTTCACACTTGGCTCTCTGGCACTGGAGAAATATTTTGCTGGTAAACATGATGACCCCAAAATAAACAAGAAGAATACAACCAAGCCAAGCCAAACCAAGCCGGTCGGGGCACTCGTGCGCGCCAAAGAAGACGTCATAATAATGCCCCAAGTGTTTCCTGGAGTTTGTTGCAGGAGGCAACAGCAGCTGCCTCGCAATCAGAGGCAGGCACCAAGGCAGAGCCGCCTAGAAATATGCAATGCGAAAAATCAACACAGCAAAAGACGACAATGACTATGGCTATGGCGCTGTCGACCTCAATTACCCTCGTTTTGCAATGCGAAAGGGGCTGTACGAAAAAATTAGTACATATTTACAGGCGTTGGCATGAAAATTTGTCACCTAGACGCCTGGGCCGGAGCCTGAGCAGGCAGCAATGCGAATGGCACTGAGCAAACATGTCTCCTTTGTCTGTGTGCGTGTGTCTGCCTCTCTGTGTGCTGCTGTGTGTGAGTGTGTGTTTGTGTGTGTGTCTGCATGTAATTGAGCCTACAGATATGCAACGAATGCAGGTTGTTGCTATTGTAATCGACACTTGGGCGGCGCCCATCGAGGCAAACGCTTGCCGCATCTCGACGTTGCGACTGCGCGCTCTTCGGGGTGCCTCCACCACGGTGAATGCATATTTGTAGGGGCAATGCTGCAGCGCGTCGCTCGGCTGCCTGGAAATGTGCAAAGCTTTGATTGGCCCACCCGAATCGTGCTCATAAAGCTTGCTAGAATGCTGCTGATTGGTCGAGCTCGGCTTAAGGGCAGCTTCCAGTGCGCATGCGGTGAGAGAGCGAGAGAGCCTCAGGGATTTGCTCAGCAAATAGTAAGAGCTGCCCCCTCAGTTATATTACATTTTGTTTATCCTCTTTTGGTCAAGTCTGCCTGGCTGGCTGGCTGGCTGTCTCTCCTATGGTATGTGTGTGTGTGTGTGTGTGCGCGTGTATATGTTACTGTCAGTGATTAAAGTTAAGCGCGTGGTGAAAAACTGTTGGGGAATCCATCCCAGCTTAAGTGGTGGTAGTTTTATATATGTAAATATGTTTGTGTGCGTGTGCGTGTGTATGCCTGTATGCACTAACTGCATGGGAATGCTGGTATCAGTCTGCTTGTATTCGCATTTTTTTTGCGGACTGCGAATTTTTACAATGCGTATCAATTCGTTAAAATGCTTAAGCCCTTCAAGGAACCCTTTCTATTTCTTAACAATTATTTGAAAGCTCTAACGTATTTTGGTTTTTGTTTTATTTGTAGTTTTATCTTTCCATTTAACATAGTTTGATTTTGTTTTGCTGTGAGCAAATAAGCGTTCAATTCGATTTACTTTAGCATTTCATTTTCATACTGACAAATCAACCCCTAAAGTTCTCTTAGGCTTTCGTGTAGACTTTGCTGTCTCGCTCTCTCTAAATATTTACTCTTTGAGAGATGCTTCAGAAAATCTACACAAACTAAATTGGAATTCGGCGCATCTCACCTGTACCCGATAGCTTTTATACACTGCAACAAATTGGCTCAAGCTACACATTTAGCATAATACGTAAGAGTCAATCAAGTTCATAACCTTATAATTTTTATTGAAATATTTCAAATGTTTTTCAAGTGAACGTATGAACGCATTGGGGGCTAAGTTGCCAAACATTGACATACTAATTTTTAGACCACAAATTACTTTCAGTGTATTGTGTGCGGCAAAATGAAAGCTTTCAAGCGAAATGCTGATAGGTTACTGTGGGAGTGTAGAATATCTTATAGGGATGTTTTCACTTGTTGCCATTACTTGTATTGTAGAGGAGAGCTTAACTTGCGGCGAATTCAACCGGGCAACATGTTTGAACTTGCCTCTTCAAGGATGCGCAAAACTATTGTTGTTACAAATGGTTTTTAAAATCGAAACAACAATCAAAGTTGCGTAAAATAGACATAAAAATATTATTTAAAATATAAAAATATTTATTCCATATAATATTAGTCTAAATCGAGAGTTGAAAACAGCTCAATTGAGTTAGGGAGTTGCTCCTCTCATGCGCTACATGTTGCATCCATGAATGCAACACATCTTCATTATTGGTCCAGGCCACGTCGGCTGGTTGCAATCGTCGTCAACTCGTCGTTATTTGCCGAGATTTGCACTTGGCCAAAAACAGTAAGGACAAGCGTATAGTTGTTGGTAACAAAAGCCGCTGTCTGCAGTCCCCTACAACTTGGCCGTCGTCATTTGCCGGCAGCGGCTCGTTGTTGCGCCTCGTGTGCCGACCTACTCTTCGGCGTTGTTCTCTGTCGGCCGTCTCGCGTGTGTCCTCGTGCATTTTGTAAGGTTCGTGCTCGTTGCACATTCGCATGGCGATGCCAAGCAGCAGATTTTTTCGGAATGCGTTAAGGATCAGTTTTGCGCGAAATACGGTTACGAAAGGTTGCTGACGACAAAGAGCCGGCGTCTAAGCAAACATTTTCCAATCTTTCTTTGTGTTTCTGTCTGTATATGAGAGTCTGTTTGCTGGTGTTTCGTGCGTTTGAGAACTTTGTGCTGCATACTTGCGTGCGAATACCATAAGATTGTGAAAGAAAAGTAATATCGCCTAAGCTAACTGAGAACTGACCTAAGTCAAGGCTCTTAGCGCGTTTCTAATAATGTAACTGACCTATGACAAATATAAAATGTGTATGCAAGGACCAAAAGGAAATACCGAACGCATTTAAGAAACATTTGCATATTTTTAGGCGTGTTAAAACGGAAGTTTTACAAAAAAAAAGACCATTTTTCGTTCGAAGAAACGAGGCTGGGTTAAGAATTTTAAAACAAATTGCCATAAAATTAAATAAAGCAATTAAAGTAAAAGACGCATAGAGGAGCGTAGAAAGAACTCTTTAATATCATCACAAAAAACAAATAGTCTATTAGTCGAACTAGTCAAACTAAAATACGTAGTGCGCATAACTATAACTATTCCCTTAAGAATATCATTTGTATTTGAAGTAATTGTATCAAAAAGAACCTTAGCTGTTCTCGAATTTTTTCTACAAAGCCATTCAAAATGACGCAAAGTTTTTGAATCGCTCGCTTAACTGATTATGGTTGTGAAAATATATGAAGAGAGAGAGGAAAAAAGAAAAACTCTAACGGAAGGATTTTACATCTAGCCAGTAACCATTTATGCTTCCCTAATAGTTGTAACAAATGAACTCTTCTGTAGATCGATAATTGCTCTTGCACTACACAAATTAATGTAAATTAATGTTATTTAACAGGTATATACAAATATTTTCATATCAGTATCTTATTAGAGTAACTTAACTTATTTGGACAACAGTTCGTAGTGTTTGCGATATAAGCATTAGAAGTGTGTTATCTAAGAAAACAAATGAAAGTGTAAATGGCGCGCCTCTTAAATAACCCGAAAGTTGATTTAGTCGAAAAGTGTTAAAACAAGTGCAAATATGTTGATTTCAAATTGATTGCAAATTCTCAAGCATATATATTGCAAAAAGATAGCGCTAATGGTAAGTTTGAGAACACAAATTGGCAAGAATATAGAATATAAATTGAAGTATACTTAAGATTTAATGTACAGCTTGAGGCGGTGATCATATTCCAAATACATTCAGTACATAATGTTAGATAATTTTTTATAAATTTTCAGTATTCTCAGTGACCATCATGACTTTTAACTTATTTCTTTGCATGATGTACTGTCAAATTTTCTTCGTACAAAAGTAAAAAATTATGTAACTGTGTTGAATATAATTTTAAGACCCTAAAGTGCAACAATATTGGCGTTTCGTGTTGTGATATTGATTTGCTAGCCTTTGACACTTCAGTGTCAATTAAAATTTGGCGAAATTACTATTTGGCCTACGATTGCAACGTCAGCAAATTTATCAGTCTTGCGACAGTTGCTAGGCAAACGTCAATATCAGCAATTTTAGAGTTGACTACACAGCACATTCTCGACGAGTGAAACTATTTTCCAGGCCGAGTAAGTGATTTTTGCATTGATCCGCCTAAATCGTTGTCGCCCGAGTTGTGCATGTGGCAATGTGGCATATGTGTGTGTGTGTGAGCGTGTCTGTGTGAAGTGAACTGCATGAATGTGCAAGCTTTTCAAGTGTTTTCGAGTGAGACGCATAAATCGCAGACTAAATGACATGCATATTCCTTTCTAGCATTATGTAGCATACTTTGCTGCGTCATTGGTTCAATTGATGAGCCTGCAGATGTTGCTGGCGAACAAAGCTCATTGACAATTGGCAGCATATTTGAAAATCAAATCAACTGCAAACTGATGCAGGTAATTTAAAGTGCATTTGAATGCCTTTGATTTGACTCTTTAAGTGCCATAAAACCAATTTACAATATTCAAAATCGAATCTGTTAAAGCAATTCTTTGGCACACGTCCCATGGTTAAATGTAACAAAAGAGCCCTGCAAGCTGTGGCTGAGGAAATAATCAAAACATTTCATTAAAAGCAACGGCCCAGAGCGAACAGTCCAGCTTAAAAAGCAAACAAGTCCGACAACAAAATGTTGACAAAAAGCGTAAAAATACGAACAGCTCAATAGTGTACAAAATGAAAATCACACAAAATGCAACAACACAGCAACCCAGAAAAAAGAACAAAAAACAAAAAAATTCGCCTGGCCATGCAAATAAATATGCAGTCAAAGGCAATCAAGGCATGTCGCTTCGCTCCTCAGTACGGCCGCAGTTGTCGATATTTGATTTGAAAACATTTCAAAAAATGCAACGAAAATGATTTTGTTTTTTATTTTTATTTTTATTTTTAATGGTCGCAACATTGCTTTAGGCATCCCTCGAAAATAAATAACGCCAGCAGCCCTAACAATTACGATTGGAGTAGACATTTTGTGCCATTGAAAGGATATTTTGTTTCTATGCCCTGTACACATAAAATTATGAAAAGGGGTTGCTCGATATTCGTGATCAGCAATAAAAGGCGATCAAGCTATATCCGACAGCTCATATTGATATTTGATATTATGTCCTAAATTCTCATTTTCCCTCAGTTTGTTTGGAAATTCTTTTATAATTCTTTTTGAAACTAATAATAAAAAATTGCGTTTTATTTATTTCATGTTTTTTAAACTTTTAAATAAAATACATTTTGGAGTAAAAAAAATAAAAGGTCTTTGGGTTTCGATAGATCATTAATTATAAAAATAATGCTAAATTTAATTTTGATTTTTTGGATACTCTCTTAAATATTTTTTTAATGTTGTAATTATAAAGGGTATTCCCTAGTCTAATATTCTTCGCAAAGAATTCTGTTGGTTCGAGTATTAATATGATTTTTGGAAGGTGAAATCTAGTTATTTTAGCAGGAATCGAAATATACATGGATTGGTATTCAAATTGTTTTTACAACAGGGAGTTTAGACATGGAAGAAAACATTTTTGATCTAAAATAATTTATTCATAACATATTTATTTACATATATTTAATATTTTGTACTAAAATTCATTTAATTATTAAATCTAGATAGAACTAAATTCTGAAAAGAAAATTAAAATCCCTTCGTGCTTGAGTTTCGTTCCACTAAGGAAGTATAATGCTCTCTTAAACCCTGAACCCAGTGTAAATAGATTAAATGGAAAAATGTGTACATGTATGAGCTCAATAAAGATCAAATATTTTTGATCAGGAGGTCAAAAGACAAATTGAGTCGATCTGGCAATGTTCTTCTGTCCTTCAGTCTGTCTGTCTGTGAAGCGCATCGATCTTGGTAACTTCGAAAGCTAAAGAGATTTTAACACTATATTCTCGTTTAGCATACGCAGAATGATTTTTTAATTTTTTTTTGAAGTATATCCATGTTGAGACCTGATTTTCTAACGACAGCTCGCGAATTATAAAAGCTATACAACATCTTTTGCAGGGTTTCGTATACTATTAAAATTAAAATTGAATATTTCACTTTTTCGAACTTAACCTCGTACCCCAAAAATGATAAAAATGGCGACATTTTCATAGCTAGAACTTTCTCTTTTGCCATTTACGCTTATTTAAGTGCCATATTCCCAAAAGAAAAGTGCCGTGGGGGTGTGTAAGTGTACTGAAACTTGTTTATTGTTTACTTATTTTATTGTTTATTTACCCACATTTGATGTGGAATATTTGTGGCATTTATTTTTCATATGCTGCTTAAGCACAGAAATTTATAAATTGCTGATCGTGAAAAAAATGTCTACAACAAAAAATAAAATAATTATTAACCCGAACAGTCCGCCAGAGTGAATATATTTTGTATGTTTTGAATAATATCGAAACATTTATGTTTTTATGATCGGTATAAAAAGTTTGATACAAAATTGTTATTCTAGAAACTGTTTTCTTATTTTCTTTTAATCACAACATTAACTAACAACGAAGTTCCTAGTATCGATTTTTTCTTTTATATTTATTCCTGTAATCCATGGAAAATGCTCAATAAGGTATTTCTGAGTTGACATTTCCCGTTGGCTCATCAATATCTCAAATAGCAAATCATTGCTAAACATTTTGTGCTTATTTTTTATTTAAATTCGTTTTTAAATTTTTAAATTTTTAAATAATTTCATTTTTAAATTTTTTGGGCTTTTCGTGGTTTACTTATTAAGATTATACATACCTTTTGCCTTATGTTTCTTTTTTCTTTCTTCGTAATTCGTAATATATAATGTCTGATTTGTAAACTTCCGAGTTTGGTTTTTTACGGCTATTCTAAGTCGAAAATTTTCTTTGAATATAACATACAAATAATGATATTTACGATACGAGCTATATATACAGTGTACACAATTATATCTAGATCAGAATTGGTAAACAATTTTTACTTTAGATTTAAATTTAATTTAATTTAAGTCAAATAAAAATGTCTTTAAAATGCTTGCGATTCTAAAAGTGCTCTTTTATATTTACGATAAATTTACGATTTATTTTTCTTAAGAGGTATGTTGACATGGGAAATACATGTGAGTCTTGGACAATTTACGTAGTGTTAACTTTTATTATGCACACTTGTAGTAATAAGAAAAATCTTGAGATATTTTTGAATTAAACTGGCTTGAATTTTTCTGGCTACTCAAACAAGTATTAGTCATACTGTTTTAGAAAAAAAAGGGAAAGGGAAACTCTCTGAACCAAAACTCAGACCGATCAAGAGTGCCCGTCTCGTTCAGTTGAGCTGGTCTTGCCATTGGTAAAATAAATTGCAGGCGGCGGGGTGTGAGCAGTTTTGGCACGGAAATCGTTTAAGCTTCTGCAGCCATATAAAGTTTAATGAGCCGCAATTAATCGTACATGACAACACTATAAAAACGTTTACGAAAAATTATATCCTTTTTTTCACCGTCGACTTCATAGTCGTTTTTTTTCCGCCCTCTTCTCAATTTGTGTGCTGCTGCCTCGTTTTTGGAATTGTTGTAATTGCTGGTGTCTTTGTTTGGCAGTCTTAGTTCTTGTTGGCATTGTGCGAGTCCTGCCGACTGTGAATGTCCTATCAGGGCACAAGTGCTGGGTGAATGAGTGTAGAAATTTACTGAGGGCTGCATGAAATTTATATCAAAATGCATTAAGTACATACTTAGTGTACAGTTGCCCTCAACTCCCTTTTTATTTGCATATTTAGGATTTTTTGCAAACACCTTTCTGATCAGTAAATTTGTTTAATTTGTCATCGTCGCATTGCAATTGCTTTTCCTAATTAACAATTTAAATAAATCGCGTAACGTTTGCAACGTTTGTTGCACAGTGAATGCAATTTAATTGGAAATTTAATTGCTTTTGTGGTCGGAATGTGCAGTGAGCGCCCTTTTAGCCATCCACCTGGACAGGGATATTTTTTTCTTGTTGTCGTTCTTGTCGTTGTTGTTGTTGTTGTCATTCATTCATATTTGTCGACCTTTTAATTTAGACGTGTCGTCCATTGAAATTTTGCCACCGGTTGCTGCCTGGTTTGGCTTTGTTGTTTTAATTATTTGCGGTTATATTTATTTAAATATTTACCAATTCAATTAGGGTTCCAGGCTTTTTTTCTATGGACAGTAGTATCGTATAATTTATTATTATATTGACGGGCTATTGGCGACACATTTGATGACTTTAATTGACTTTCGGATAGAGATTTTTATTACATTTTTAAAGGTCGTGTCGTTTGAGCGTCGATCCCATACTGACATATGATTTCAATTAATATAATGTCATATCTGACAAATAGTATCTGCAGACATCGCTGAAGGATCTAAAGACGCGACGAGCCAGGCAATAAGTTTGCTGAAAACCTCACAGACGTAAAAGTTTCTTTTTTTTGTTTCGTTTTTGTTAACATTTTTTTCTTACCATCATGAAGCTTCTTTTGGCTGGCTGCGTGCCAATTATAAAAGTGATTTTGCTGTAAGCTACACGTCCCAGGCAGACATAAGACCTCACATACACACGCACACACATGCCACACACACTTCCGTCAACGGGAAGTCATAAGACGTATGAACTTGTCGCCAGCC